TTTATTTTGATAATGAACAGGCTGCGATGTCAAGTTTGCAAAAATATGTTGTATGTGCGTGTGAGTCGCTGACGCGATTCAAAACTGTAAAGCTTTTGCAAAATAAAGAAAACGGCTTTCCTTTCCGTGAACTTCGGAGCGCATTACAATGATCCGAACTCAGCACAATTTTTTTTTTCGTTTTGTTAATCTGTTAATGATTTAAGTGAAATATATTTCATGTATAGGCCTATATATTCCTTTTTATGTAGCCTATATAGTTTTATTCCATTTTCTCTGTAACGCTGCAGGTGCGTGATGTGAACTTGTGTGAATCCGTGTTCTACACGATCCTGCCTGCCATTCATTTTCACTTAAATGTAGGCCTAATGCTTAATTGGCGGTTCGTGACATATCCTCAGATAAACTAACTCGGGGGCATTGCCATTGCGACTTACCTATGATGAATTTTCAGCTGAGCGCGGGCGTTTCACTCGTTGGATGCGTCAGCATCACATTTGCATAGGCCGTACTATGCTGTCTGACAAACTATGTTTTGTACAGTTTTTATTTTGTTTCGGCAAGTATTTAATTATTTTGCCCAGAGAAAAACGTTGGATTATGCAACAGACATGCAACTCATGGTCTCCATGCAGTTCATTAATAAACCATCGGTATCGGCCCTTTTCATGCTATTTCCAATATAAATTTAAAATAATAAAAAATCGGCCGATAAATATCGGCGGCTGATACATCGGTGCATCCCCAATTTCTATGCTTTTTAATGCTTCAACATAAATGGGTGTACATATAAAAGTGACTACATTTCATTCAAGTGTCTCAATAAAAAAAGAATTAAAAATGGACTATCATTCCCAAGACTATTAGACTATTGTGTTATTAGCTTAGCAACATGCAAAAACTAATGAAATCAACTGGCAGTCTAATCACACTTATGTTTCCAAAACAGACATTTATGAAGTTCTATTTCATTTAGAATGATGTCTTAAAAAGTCGAAAGAAAGAGCTAGAAAGAAAACACAGCTTACCCGCAGCAACACCACCTTTGTAGGACACTTGAGAATCTCTGTAAGAGGGTTGGCATCGCTTTTCTTTGAGGCATCCGCTATAAAACGGACAGAACATTTCTATTTAAATCACAACATGCAGCTTCATATACCAGCAAAAACAACTTTTTACTGCCGATAGCAGTAATAAAAACAACAGGTGTAGTGAAATGGTTTTGTAAAAAAAAAAAAAAAAAAAAAATTTTTCAATTAACCAATTCAAAACTGAGATTCTCAGAGTTGTTTGTGATATAATAAATAAATATATACGATCTTACCGGCCCCAAACTTTTGAACAATAGTGTAAACATTGCTGTTTATGACTATGTATTGTAATTCTGGTGCATACAAATGAGAACAATTAATTATGGATTCTTGCTTTGTGTTCATGTAGTGAAAAGCATTGTGGGAGCGAGCTTTGTATTATAAAAAAAAAAATCACATTTTTACCATAGTTTACTTGCATAAATTTAATGTCTGTTTGGTCAAAATGACGGTTCTAATGATATGAAAAAAGATAAGCAAATACATAAAAATCTAAATATACTAAATATAGTAAAAAGGTAGAAAAATATCAAGATAATATTTTAACTATATAGCGCAACCTGAAAGGACATCTGGTAATAATGTCATTATTTACTGTAACATCTGTTTGCCCATGTTAGGGACGTTACGGTTGCCACTGTTTGCATAACAAGCATGATGGACACAAATGTGTATAGTTTCCGGTTTCTAACGACTAATAGGGCACATGTGGGTGATCAAGACAAATACAGATGCAAACAAATATCAGAAGTAAATGACTGATATGGGAAACAGGAAATAAAATAAAGTCAAACCTGAATTAGAGCCATGTGGATCAGCCACATTCTGACTGGATCCTGATGCTGAAACATACACACACACACATTCAAATGAATAAAATAATACACTCACACAGTGGGTACATGGTTGTGCAAATGACAAAACATGGAGTTGAAAACAAACATGATACTCAAAAATAACAAGACAAATCAACAAGGGAAAAAAACTGAGAATGTTTATTTTGGACCTGTGATGTGTGGGTTTGTACATAGTTACTATGTGCTTGCTTGTGTGTGTGTGTATGATCTCACTCTTTTCCGTTGAGTCTCCAATAATAATCTTTCCCCCACGCTTGCTGGTTTTCTCCACTGAGAGCGCCGTGCTCAACCCCTGCTCGTGTTTTCCCAGGCCCTGTCCATCTCGGAATCCATACTTCTGCATGATTTTATGAGCCACAGTACCACTGAAAAACATACACAGACAAGCATTGGACTTTGCTATATTAATGACATATACACTTCACTGATAACCTCAGGCAAAATAGAGACCTTATGTTGCTTGTTTAGCATACAGCTGATCAAACTCAAATGTAATGCTTCAAACTCCCAAGTTTTAATTCTATTTTTCAAATCAATTCTTTAAACAAAATTCATTTAAATGTAAATACATGGTTTAAATCTTCATTTATATTAAATGTTATAAGATTTATAGCTTTCAGTTAAATCAAATTGTTCTGGTTAAATTTAAATCTTTTAGTTACACTGAAAATATCTGGTTAAATCTAAATTCTTTAAAATAAATTCTTTGAAGATCTACACTTACTGTTTAAACACAAATCTTTATTTATGCTCTCTTGGCAGGTCTTCCAGCCACTTCTACAAAACCTCTACAATTAATCCAAAATGCCGCTGCAAGATTAATCTTTAATGAGCCGAAAAGAACGCATGTCACACCTCTGTTCATCAATTTGCACTGGCTACTAGGGCTGGGTATCGATTCAGATGTCCCGATTCGATTCTCGATTTTTTTGATTACATTCAGTGAATATAGTTTAAATACAAATGCTATTGATATTTCTAAAAAATTAACAGTAAACATCAGTTTAGCTACGGGTACTGCGTTAGGCTAACCGAGACTTGTCATTTGCACTAATATATTGTTGCTCTTTTGTTAGTGTTGACTGCTTTTATTGTCCTCATTTGTAAGTCGCTTTTTACTTATATTAAGAATTATTGTGTTAAAACAAAATTTTCTGGTTGAATCTAAATCCTTTAGTTAAATTTAAAATATTTGGGTAAATCCATATATTCCTTGTTAAATTGAAATTTGGTAACACTTTACCAACCAATTCTCACTATTAACTAGTTCCTTATTAGCATGCATATCACTAGCATATTGGCTGTTTATTAGTACTTATAAAGCACATTATTCTGCATGACCATACTTTAGATATTTTAAACTTAATAACTACCTTACTAACTATTAATAAGCAACAAATTAGGACTTGAGGCAAAAGTCAGTTAATAGTAAGAACTGGTCCCCAAACTAAAGTGTGACCCGAAATTCTTTCAAATGAATTATTTGGAAATCTAAATTTCTTGTTTAAACATAAACCTTCATTTAGAATAAATATTATTAAATGTTTTTTTTTTTTAAATCAAAATCCAATTCTTTAAAATAAATTGTTTGGGATTCTAAATTCACTGTACAAAAAAAATTTCTGTTCTAAATGTTTTAAACAATTAAATCTAAAATCTCCTAAATTCTTTGGTTAAATTTAAATGTTTTGTGGTTAAATGTGAACATTTGGATTTAACATTTTTTCCCCTCAATCTCCATATCTGAGGTAACATTTAAAACCTAGAGTACTCAAATAAATATCATCAATGAATCTAAATCATCTGGAATTATGAATTTATTTGTTAAAGATGCAACCAAAACCTAATTAACACTATTCAGCCAATAACAACATTCTGTATCTATAAACAATGAAGACTTCATTTATGAGTGCAGGTTTATCTATTGGAACAGCTCTCTTACCCCATATTGGCCAGGAATGAATTAGTTGGTCCCGGGGGAGATCGTGGTCTATCAGAGTCATCAAAAATGGGAGGAGGGATTGCTGCCTTCGACCTCTGCCGACCATCTTCATCATATGAATATGTTGCTGTCATGACAACAAACATACCGTTTTAAGGTATTTACTCACATATGCAACTACTAGATTTAAGACTGTGTAAAGCTGCAGAGACAAATCAACAGTGCACAAAATCAACAGCATATAATGATTTCAGATTTGGGAACACGGTAAACGAACGATTTTTAAAGGTCAGTGAGATTTACTTACAGTCTCGCTCCACTAGTGATGTCGGAGGGGCGATGGCAGCTCCAACTATACCTGTGTGAAATATAAATAATATCTTGTAAAAAGACTGATGATCAAATCAATTGCCCTATTTACACCAGGTATTAACATCTTGGATTCAATCCCAAGTGTCATTATATACTGACATAATATAGGGAAGTGAGATAGAAAGACACAAAAGAGAAATAAAGAAATGTTTCAAAGGGCGCTCACTCCTCTTCTTCTTTTCTCTCTCATACTCCTCCTCCTCATCTGATTCGCCTTCTGTTGGGAAACGGGAAAATCCACTTGGTGCTCCCCCTCCTTCATGCCTCTCTTTACGCTTCCTAACACACAGTTTAACAAAACAATTCAACAAAGCAACACCAATCCATGCAGATCACGCATATACTACCTGTCATAAGTTTGAAATAATTACGATTTTTTTTTTCTTCTTTTTTTTAACCAAGTCTCTTTAGCACACAGAGGCTTCATTTATTTGATCAAAAATACAGTAAAAACAGTAATATTGTGAAATATTATTAGAATTTAAAACAACCGTTTTCTATGTTAAAAATGTAATTTATTCCTGTGATGGCAAAGCTGAATTTTCATCTTCATTGTCAATCAATGATTCTTCAGAAATCATTCTAATATGCTGATCAGGTGCTAAATTGTTATCAATTATTATTAGTGCTCAATTATTAACACATTTTCTTATTATCAATGAAGAAAAACAGTTTTTGCTGCTTAATATCTATGTGTAAACTGTTATACAGTTTTATTTTTGTCCAGGATTCTTTGATGAACAGAAAGTTCAAAAGATATTTGTAACATCATATCACAATATTACTGTTTTTACTGTATTTTGATCCAACTAATACAGCCTTGGTGAGCATAAGAGACTTCTTTCAAAAACATTTAAAAAAAAGCATACATTAATATGTCCGTTTTGGAAACATGAATGTGTGCATCACTGAAAATTGTGTGTAAATTAAAAGTACTGTCTATAAGTGTGTCTAAATTCATAAATTGTTCAAATATTGTGAACTATGAGGTATTCGTTATGCAATAAATAGTGAATGAGAGAACAACAGCAAAGCACGGTGTGTAAAACACACATCAGAAGAGGCAAATTACCATTTTATGTCCTCTCTATTTTTGTACAAAAAACATTTAAAATGTTCAGCAATTATATTTGTAATTGTTTTTAGTAAACATTATGTAAAATATAAATGTAATTGTTATGGTTGCGTTATTTACTATCGTTAAACAAAATATTCTGATATCATATATATTGGCCAGACTTCTCTCTAAGATATCGGCATCAGTCATCAAAAAAAATCCGTATTAGTCAGCCAATAACAGATATACCAAATACTGACAACATTTTCTGAACAAATTAATGGAAAATCATGGATGCATACTTCTCTCTCTCCTCAATCTCTTTCTGTCGCTCCTGTTCTCTCTGTCTTTGTCGTTCTTCTCGGTGTCTCTTCACCACTTTCTCATAGTCGTTGGGAAACATGGGGTCATACTCATCAGCCAAAGGAATCAGCACATCTCCGGATGAAAACCCAACTGATGCCGAGTCCTAACAGGCACACACAGTCAAAGAAACTTAATACTCTAAGAAGAACAATTTAATAAACCACTTTATAGGGTTGTGTATAACCAGTAAAGTCACGGTACGATACGTATCACGATACATAGGCCACGGTACGATACATATCACGATACAGGACTGCATTGAATTACACCTCAGAAGAGTTTAGTAAAGCAGCTGTTTATTAAACACTGCATACCATAGTGCCATTTCTAACTATTGGCAGAGCAGGCAGTTGACCTCTGCATTATGAAGGGCCTCCATAACTGTACCACAGTACAATCAATATAGGTTATGGCATATGTTTCATGTTTACATTGGGCACTCCCCACCAGGTACAATATTCTGATTGTTTGCAATTTTGTTTTTAAGCCCATAAATAATAGTGTACTCGTTCTAATCAATTTATATTGTAATGTACTCATTCTAATATATTAAAAAATCATATTTACATTGCTGGTAGGTTATCATTGCACAAATTAACACACTCTCTACATTTAAAAAAACTAAAAATTAGGAGAGTTCTAAACTAATGCGCTGTCTTCTGTATCTGACGCACACACACGCTCAGTCACTCACACAGATCACATTGCGGCCGCACTCAGACATTCAAGAACAAACTTTTTAGTGCTGCCCTGCAATTTTATCAACTAAATAGCTTAACGCTCAAGAGCTACATTAACTTTCTCAACAAGGAGCTGGTAACATCAGTTTCTTAAGGAATTAAAGCCACAGCTTCACTGTTAATAGAGAAACGCGGCAAAACGGTGGTAATTCATACATACACAGCCTCTCTCTCTCATATAAATGAACACTTGATGTATTACACTTTTCTGAGAATAGAATATTGAAGTGGAGATCGCTAAACTGCAAGCTAACCAGTGTTTTCAGAAAGCAAGCGCGTTTATCCACAGGGTTGCCAGGTTGACAAAGATAAGTAGCACGCTTAGCAGATATTTCCGTATTGCGCAAGTGGGAAACTCTGTTTTGGGGATTATGTTACGTCTCTTTATATCAGGCAACCCCGGTTGTGTTCCTCTGCGACCAGATCAAACCTCGTTGTAGCTTATATATTATGCTCTATTCATTATTTTTTAGAAACCTTGCACTTTTCTACTCCGTTTTAAACGTTGTTCTTGTATTCAAATTAAGCGCGGTCCACTGCAGCTCACGTGCCACAATATCGATACAGGGACAGCTGTATCGATACTCGTATCGTCAAATCTCTGTGAATTTTAACATATTCCAGGGAGGAAAGGTTGTGGTTTTTACAGGTCAAACACTGTGATGCCAACATTATAAGAGCATAATGAACTTTCTGCTAAGATAAATAAAATTGTGATTATTGAAAATATTCAGACAGTAATATACACACTGTTTACCTTCATCCCTGCAGCAATGTGTGGAGGTGTATCAGAGATCTGTCTGTCATCTACAGCACTTCCTCTCTTCAGATCAATAACCGGAGCTAGAACATTGGACTGTCTCGTCCTCGGAGTCTGCAAAAGAAGTCAGATTCATTTGTCGGTTCTCACACCTTTTGACTTAACATGTCACGAGAATTAATTTCCATAACTTTTTCCAGTGATTGTGACTACTGGATAATTATGTAAAAAAAAAAATAGAGTATATAAACTAATAAAAATATAATATATAACTAATATAACAAATATAACAGGTCTTTTCCACCTCATTAAAAAAAAGAGGTTTTACATGACAATGGGAACCTAGATACTTACACTCTTTAGTTATAAACATAAAGTTATGTAATAATTTCCTGTGGATTAACAAGACTGCGTTATCATTGACAGCCATGACATAAACATTGACCCACCTTTGTTTGTGTCAATGCAGCTTTCTTCACTTTCAACTGAGACTGAAGCAGTTTGAAGTTTTTAGACCAGCCTTCTGTTTTAGTGTCGCTTGTTGCGACCCCCAGATCATCATATAAAGACATTTTACCTCCTTCCCAACCAAAAACTCTGAAATACACACACATGAAACATAATTATGCTAGCGTGTCCACAAAATAAGTAAATTGGCGTGCATGTACATTTTAAACATAAAATCACAATCTAACTTTACCTGCTACTAGAACTTCTGTTCTAAAAATGATAAAAGATTATTCTTACTTAGTCAAGTAATGTTACTATTTACACATTTAGCATTCGCTTCCAGGCGGCTTGCAACGAATACTGTACCATATAAATAGACTAAATGGTTATTGTCCTACCTTAAATCACTAACGCATTTTAACTGTCAAATATATAAACGTAGATACACACCTTTAACGAAAATAAATCCACTGACTTAGTCGTTTTGCACCGTCGGTTAGCATAACATGGTACAAGTGTGAGGTCGCGTACGAATGACATCACCAACTGTGGACAAACGCGCTATCACGTCACGACATCAGTTTCTTCTTCTTCTTCTTCTTCTTCTTCTTCTTCTTCTTCTTCTTCTTCTTCTTCTTCTTCTTCTTCTTCTTCTTCTTCTTCTTCTTCTTCTTCTTCTTCTTCTTCTTCTTCTTCTTCTTCTTCTTCTTCTTCTTCTTCTTCTTCTTCTTCTTCTTCTTTTTGTTCAATGGCCGTTCACTCCTTAGGAGTATTACTTATAGATCTGTATAAAAGAATAAAAATGTTCTCTCATAAAAACGTTGATTTCATAACTATTAGTATATCTTTCTTCTGCTTTTTCCCGGGCCTCCAACAATCTCATTTCAACAATGGGTTCAGGAATATTCCATACCGATACCCTGTTTAATGGCATGTTGGGACAGATTACTTCATTCTCCAGACCACAATCCTTGACCCACTGTTCATACTTCCATCCAAAACGATTCCCTCCATTCTTTTTATATTCCCAACAATCATTTAAAATTGTGCGTGCAAGATGATACCCTGTAAATTAACCCAATACATCAGCGCAAGCTTTTCTCTTCTTAAATCTAATGGCATCTCCCCCATTTCGAAGTTACTATTGAAAATGGTAATGGTTACAAAGGGGGATACATCTGAATATTTTCACACACACAACACACACCCACATACAGATTTAATTGATTTATTTCCCAAATTGCATTGACTGCTATTACCGCCACCTACTGTATATCGTGCGCACATGGGTGATAAATCTGTATAAACATCAAGAAAAAATTTTTTGTAATGCCCCACCTACCCCAGAGGATCAGAGCCAAGCTTCAGCTGGCGCTGCGTGTTCAGCTCCTCCAGCTTCCACACTGGGCTCCTCAACCTCCGAGATGGGCAGAAGCATCATGATCCTCATCCTCAAACACTAAATCCTGTGGTCTAAT